ATAAAATTATTTACCTGTATACAGCTGATCGTCCTATTGTTGTTCCCAGAGACTTCCTCTGATGTAGCAAATATCAAGACGGAGAGGGGTATAAGGGAGAAATAGGGACTAATTTCCGTTAATTAAAAAATGTGACTCCTGGTGAATTCGGTAATATTACTCATTTCCCCCGGGAAAGATGGGAGAAAAGGGAAGGGGGAGTGAGTGCCGCCAGACGACTGCTGCCAACTGCCTCTTATCAGGTGACCTCGATTTGGTAGTGCCACCATCGAAGGTGAGCCATCCGTATTGACGGAGACGTGACAGACTAAGGCTTATGTTGGACCCTTCTAATCTCACCTTGCGGTGGTTACGTGCCTCTCATAGTAGAGATGTGAGAAGAGATTTGAACTATGTGTTTATCGAGCGAGCTTTAACGTAGATAGTGACCTTTTTTCATCAAAGCACGGTTGTAAATATGCGTCCACCGGATGTGAGGCCAAGAGGGGATCATCGCCAGCGATGCACATGTGCTGATACATGGCGATCGCAGGAAGATTTGTAGAAAATGAAGAGTCAGCAAGGTAGCAGCCATTTTCGCTATAGAATAATACGACAAGGGTAACAAGTGTGACGTAGCTATCGTAGATCCACCGTCTCAGTGGAAGATTTGATGATGTTTGACAAGATATGAGTGTCTTTCGCAACCCTACTTTGATTAAAGGAAGTGGTCACGAAAATTCCTATGGAGACGATAAGGAAGGTACGTACTGGATTGGGTAGGGGTCCTGCCCAATGTTACAACAGGTGAAGTTTCAGTGGCAGTGGCGCCTTATCAACGGAGTGATAAGGCGCCGAAATCCACTTCCGTTCAGCAAAAACAAAGACTATCGATGTGGAAAGGGGTGCGATAAGAGCGTGCTAGATATGATACCGTTATCGTTATCGTCCCGTTTTCATTCTGGAGTGCACCTCTTATCAAGCAGCCGCACCTTCTTATCTCATCGTATCATATCTTCCATGGGCTTACACTCGTCCAACAATTACTGCCTCACACCTTATCGGTTGATAACGCGAGGGTAGCAAATCCAGCGTGGAAGCCAGCGTGATCGCTTCCCTTAAATGCCTTTTACGTTGATTAGGAATGTCTGCCAACACTACCTCCCCCTTCCAACCTCCATTTCACCTCCCTTTTTATGGGCACCTTGCGGTAGACCAGTGGAATATTTAGTGAAAATGTAGTTCGAGGGGGCCACTCATGATTCTGAACGAAAGGGCAATATCTAATCGAAGTGGAGCTTGCAGATGGGCGGTGATATCTAATCAATCAGAGGATCTGAGTTAACGATTAGATAGGGATACCAATCCGTACGAAATCGGGTACCTGAAAGGCCCTTTCTTCGAGGGCTTGCATGGCAATCGCAAGAAGTTTGGTGAAAGTGAAGAGCCAGCAAGGTAGCAGCCATTTTAGCCATAGAATAATATGACAAGGGTGAAGTACTAGTCGTAGGCCACGGTCTCAGTGAAAGATATGATAAGATATGAGTGCTTCCCGCAACTCTACTTTGATAGATAGAGTGTCTTTCCTCCTCCACCTCACAAACTCGTTCCATAGTCGAACCAGTAGAGGCGAAGTGGGCGTGCTAATTCGATCTAGCCGACTATGTTATCTGACTGGGACTTCAGACCCCTCATTTTAAACACATTGGACGATCGACCTGCGGGGTGATTATATAATCCCCGCGCTTATTCGCCCAGCGCCCACTGCGGGCCGTGCGGGCTCATACTTCATCGCCCCCTCGCACCCCATCTACGAGCTTCCGATTCTGTTTTTTTCGCTGGCATCGACCGACTGATTCTTTTAGAAGTTTCTTGTATTTCATTCCATGGAAGACACCTTGTCGTAGCTACAAACACAGAGCGGTCCATAGAATGGTCTCGTATGGTGTAATTTAGAGGAGGATTTCTGAATCATACGAAATCTTGAGTTCAATTATTTTTTCGTTTACTTTTTCTTTTTATGAATGTAAAGATTTAAATAGTAGTAGAAGTAGATACGGAACCTTAGGGATGACAACATGTGTGTTTGATTGGAATAATCAACGTAAAATTACTTTTAAGGTCCATTGCAGCTAGTTCTGAAAAATTTCGCTTTTTCATTGTTATTCCATGTCTTTTGATCAAAATTCCACTACTGTACCCCTGGGTAGGTTGCGCTCATTACAATTTACTAATTTGGTTTTGAATTGGTCATTAGTTGTGTATTTATCACTCAAAATCTGCTTGAACGACCTGAGGCGAGCGCGCCCGCAAAATCGCCGCGGTCCCACGTGGCCAAAAAAGCCAAAACTCGCATTGTCGTCAATGTGTTAAAGTGGTTATCAAGCGCGG